AATTAGTAATCAAAAAGCTGCCAAAAAACAAGAGTCCAGGGCCAGATGTCTTTCCAGGGGAATTCTACCAAACATTTAAGAAGGAGTTAACACCTATTCTTTTGAAACTGTTCCAAAAAATAGAAATGGAAGGAAAACTTCCAGACTCTTTCTATGAAGCCAGCATTCCCTTGATTCCAAAACCAGACAGAGACCCCACTAAAAAGGAAAACTATAGACCAATTTCCCTGATGAACATAGATGCAAAAATCCTCAACAAGATATTAGCCAACTGGCTCCAACAATACATTAAAAAAATTATTCACCACGACCAAGTGGGATTTATACCTGGGATGCAGGGCTGGTTCAATATCCACAATACAATTAATGTGATTCATCACATCAATAAAAGAAAGGACAAGAACCATATGATCCTCTCAATAGATGCAGAGAAAGCATTTGACAAAATACAGCATCTCTCTTGATAAAAACCCTCAAGAAAGTAGGGATAGAGGGAGCATACCTTGAGATCATAAAAGCCATATATGAATGACCCAATGCTAATATCATCCTCAATGGGGAAAAAGTGAGAGCTTTCCTCCTAAGGTCAGGAAAAAGACAGGGATGTCCACTCTTGCCACTGTTATTCAACATAGTATTGGAAGTCTTAGCCTCTGCAATTAGTCAACACAAAGAAATAAAAGGCATCTTTCCACTTTTTAATTTTTACCTAGGTTCACCTCCTTGGGGTAAGACTCTTAGGTTCAACGAGAGGACCAACCTATAAAGCTAGCAGCAATTTAAATATGGCCAATGATTCACCTTTTTTCTAGTCTTTTACCTAGAGTAGGGTTGGATTAGTATGACGTATAAGTTTGCCTCAATGACAAGGTAAGAGAAAGACAGAAACCATTAATAAAGAATATCCAATGGGAGAAAGAGAGACTCTTCAACATATGGTGCTGGGAAAGCTGGACAGCAACATGCAAAAGAATGAAACTGGACCACTTTCTTACACCATACAGAAAAATAAATTAAAAATGGATTAAAGACCTAAATGTGCAATCTGAAACCGTAAACATCTTAGAGGAGAACACAGGCAGTAACCTCTTTGAAATCAGCCATAACGACTTCTTTCTAGATATGTATCCTGAGGTAAGGAAAACAAAAGAAAAAAATAAACTGAGATATTGAGATTTCATCAAAATCAAAAGCTTCTGCACAGCAAAGGAGGCAATCAACAAAACTAAAAGTCAACATATAGAATGGGAGAAGATACTTGCAAATGACGTATCTGATAAAGGGTTAGTTATATAAAGAACTAATATAACTCACCCCCCCCCCACAAATAATCCAATTAAAAAATGAGCAGAAGACTGGGGCACCTGGGTGGCTAAGTTTGCTAAATGGCTGACTTCGGCTCAGGTCATGATCTCACAGTCCGTGAGTTCAAGCCCTGTGTCAGGCTCTGTGCTGACAGCTCACAGCCTGGAGCCTGCTTCAGATTCTGTTTCCCTTCTCCCTTCTTCTTTTCCAAAGAAGACCTACAGATGGCCTAAAGGCACATGAAAGTATGTTCAACATCACTGATCATCAGGGAAAT